TTTAATAATCCCATGTAACTGTTTAAAAAAATTTCCTTTTTGATCAAGTCCCCAATCTGCCAGCCTGTTCTCTCTTCTTAACTGTGGAAAAATGAGACGGTTGCTTGAACATTGGTTGGGTAAGTAGAGAAATCCATTTCCTCTGTGACCATCTATAAAGAGTTTGGCGAACATTTGGGGTCTGTTTGTAACAGGGGGTCTTGGCTCCAGCAGTTGGGGGCTTTTCATTAGCAGGAATCAATTAAGGGCTTTTTAATAGTGTCTTGATTTTAGGTGACTGTTTGAATCCACTGTTTTTCCCGATAACCTGCAGCTAGGATTGCAGCTTACACTTCCTGTTTACCCTCAGACAGGAGAGAAATGTTCAGTTCATTGTGACTTGCCTGGAGACCTTTCATTAGGTCTGTTTGGATATTAGAACTCTGGGTAGGTGATCTGCTTGTGAAATGTAACGAAAGTGCTAGTTCTTAGCGTTCCAGAGCCTTAAGCATTGGTGGGGCAGGAGCTGGTGGTGGTGGTGGTGGTGGTGGTGGTGTGTGTGGGGGTGGTGGTGTCAGGACCTAATGTATTAGGATACTTACATGTTGTGCAAAATCCCATCCACCACCAAACTTGGTCCTTTTTCCAAGCCTGACCCACACATTGGTATGCACGCTTGCCTTTACTTAGGATTTATTTCTCACTTTTTACATTTCCCCTGATCTCTTCATGCTGTGGTTAGAATTTAAGAGTGAAAAAAATAGACTCGTGTTTAGCGTTAGCCTCAGAATTTCCCAGAAGTTCACTACATAAATTTCCAGCCTGGAGACCCATCCAGCATGAATGTAAATGCTGGAAATATATTCAACTGCTGTGTTATGCCAACTTTATGGAGTCCATAATCTTTTTTTTTCTTTTAAATTAGTGTCCAGCTACCCACCTTTTAGTACCAATTGGGAGAAGGCTTATTTAATAATGAGAACTGTACCAAATTCTAAGTTAAGAAAAGTGTGTGTAAGGCCAGCTTCTTAGAGTAAAAAGTGCAGGCAGTTAATGATGTTATGTCCTTAAAACTGAGCAGTGTGACTGCCCCACACAAGTCGAAGTAAGTTCAGACACTTAGCTATTTTCTTTGTTCTTATCTCCTGGCTGTAAATGGAAATTACTTGTTGAAGTTCTTGTGGCCTTCCTAGGAGAAATGTCTAATCACAAGACTCCTGGTTTGGAGCCTTCAAAGTTTGCATAATGGCGTGTTTGTTAGACTGCAAGGGGAACTCAGGGCGAGGCATTTGTCCTGTAAAAGCTTGCATTAAAAAGGCTCCCACAGGTTTGCAAGGCCAAGAGCTGTTTTCAAATGTGCAGCCCCACCGAGTTCTCAGCCCTGGACCAAGCTAGCCACTTTTGCTCTGGTGCGGTGGCCACCATCAAGCGTGAGTCTGTAAGAAGCTAATTGCTTTCCAAATAGCATTATTTTCCAGTTTCACTAAGGGGGAAAAATAAATGTCTGCATTGCAGCAGGACTAGGTAGGGACAGCAGTGCTGGCTCACGGAGCAGCCCAATGGGGTTCCTCTCTCCAGCGTTTGAACCAATAGACTTGGAGGAAAGGTTACAGATTGACAATTGCAGTGGCCGGACTGAGAACGGGCCTTCTGGAAATTTCTACCATCTTTGTTCCTTTTAGGAAAAGCAGATCTGCCAAGCTGAAGAGTCTCCTACATTCCATTCCTAGGGCATCTCCCCCCCTCCTCCCCTTCTTTTTTACATCAAGGTAGAATGTTCTCTCTGCCACGATTGTAAATTGCAGAGGGAGGAACAGAATGTTGGGCTGTTTTCCTTTTTCCCTCTGCCTCCTCAGTCCCCAAAGAGGATGCACAGCTGCAAGGAGCAAACACAGACACACTGGAGCTTTGGATTCCTCTCTCTCTTTTTCCTTCAAGACCCTCCAGGATGGACTCACTTTCTGCTTTGGGAAATTAAGTGGCATTCACGTGGGGGAGGGGAAGGAGAAACTGCTTTTATTAGCTCCAGAAAATGGTCAGTGTTCCATCTGTAACTAGGAATTAATTATATATAATCACTCAGTAAACTTTCTACAGAGTTTTTCTAATTGCTGTGCATGAACATAGCCTGTTGGAGCCCAGTCCAGTTACTTTTATAATTAACAGCTCAAAGATTTGAGTCAGAAAGAGAGAAACAATGGGGCCTCTTGGATTATAAATTAGGGATGAAAACAATAGCTTTTTTTTCTTTCTTTCTTTCTTTCTTGTAACCCTTTTTCTTTTAAACAAAACATTCCCCCTTTTCTTTCCCTGGGAGAGCACTGGGGAGACTGCTTCAGGTCTTAAATAGGAAAGGGGGGAAAATGAGTCATTCTTTAAAAAGCAGGGTGACAGTAACCCAGAAAACCCTGAAGGCAAAGGTAGGTTTTTTTTTAAAAGTCCAACCACTTCAAATGTGTGATCTCTTTGTTTCTTTTGCCTTCATTCCCCTTCTCTCTCCTGTGGCAGAGGCAGCAAACATTTGTCAGCTGAGAAGCCCTAGATCTGGGTTTGCCTCTGGTTGACCCTGAAAAGAAAGATACATGCAAAGAGCCTTCGCCACCCCACGCAGAGATAGAGGGAGGGGATCTGTTTAGAAGCCCTGTCTTGCTCTTAAACGCAACAACAAGTAAGGATTCACCCTTGGCTTCGGGTTGCTAAGGCCATGGCTGCCCTTCCCCCTTCTCCCCACTCTCCTTACAGATAAACAAGCAGGCAGGCGGGAGCCATTTCTGCCCTGCAGCTTGCTCGCTGCCAGGCTGTCCGTCCTCATCAAGATTACCTACCTACCGGCCGGCGAGGAGCCAGCCAGTCGCCCGTCCTCGCCCTGGCACAGCCTTGGGCACCATGCCCTCCTTTCTCCCCTGGAGCTAAAAAGCAGTCACCTTGACACTCCCCACTCCCAGCACCAGAAGAGTTCTGAGGCCAATTCTCAGACCTGTAACCGTAAATTACACCATCCACTATGAGGCTGTTCCTTCGGCCTCTGAAAGCCGGTTTTGCAAAACCCATTGTTAATTTTCAGGGCTCGTTGGGGGTGGACAAAAATCTAATTTGTGAGTATCCTGTGCATTGGCTAAGGGGAGTGTTTTCCTGTTGTTTCTCCTCTGCAGACGTGGACTGTCTTTCCTGGATGTTAACTGTCTTAGGACTGGCTGGGTGTTTGGTGGCCGTTTTCAGGCTTGGAAGCAGCCTTTTTATTTTACCCTGGCCTCCCCCTGGGATGCCTGTTGTCCTCGAAGCACTTTCGTTTTACCTAGCTCCTTTTGGGTCTGGCTGCAAAGCTGGTTTTGCTATACCAAGAAGGGGGAATGGGCCGCCTCCCCCGCCCCAGCCTGCTCCCTTTTAACATTTTTTCTGTTTGCACAGACACCTGTCTGTCTGCAGTTTATGCCACCAGGCTGCATAATTCCTAACCCTCCACCCACCTAATTCGAGGGCAAGGGGGCCTCCTCTCAGAGCCTCCTGTTGAAGGCTCAGGATCTAAAAGGGAAGGGTTTTTCCTTAGGAACCTGTGACTTCACAAACTCCCCGTCACTGCAGATTTTTTTTTTAAGCTTCTAAACGTTGGGTTGTTGGTGTCCTTTAGTTGAGCTTCTCCTAGTTCTGATATTTAGGAAGGTGGCTTTGAAACTAGCAGAGCTGCTCCCACCAGCGCTGCAGCTATGGAACAAACTGCTACCATTTTAGCTTCAATACAGGAATGAGGCAGTGTTGCCAGACGCCATTTTAAGAATCCTGCATAAATAGCTTAGCTCCCGATGACTGTGCCTGTTTTAGGTGAGTGCTTATATAAAGCTGCTGTGGTAACCATTCCCTTCCCCCCAGGTTTTTTAAAAAAAATTAATTGCAGATTGAAGGAAGCATGGTTTTTTATTTTGATGTTCACTGCTTTGTGTTCTAGAAGAGGAGGATGTTGTGTCTTGGGGATTAAGTATTTCTTACAGCCTGGACCAGTTTGGTATTTTGAATGAAAGTAAAAAGCTGAAGGAAAAGTCCTTTCAAATGATGCATGATTCTTGAATTGCTGTGCGAGCGATGAGCCTTCTCTGTAGACCCAGAGCCTGCGCATGCTGGTTATATATTCTAGATGGCTTAGATATTCTTGGTTAAAAGTCAAAGAGTAGGGGCACTTGGGGAACAGAAATATCTGGGCATTGTGTATCCAGGCATTTTTCTGTCCAGACTAGATGTTTTTCTCTTTTCTTTCTCTCTCTCTTTTGGAAGTGGTGAGGGGACGAGATTCCTGGGAATTACGGACCAGCCTTGAGTCCTCAGAATTAATAATCAGAAGGCTTAAAACATCCTGGAGGTGCACCAGTTCATCTGCAACTTTTAATTGCTCTTTTTCAGTGCATGCAGGTTCAGAAGTAAGCCTAGGTTTTCTTGTTCAGGCAGTGGGGGAGAAATCTTATTCTTTCTGGGACGGGCTGCGATGGTCTTGGTTGTATTTGCAGGTGTGTTATTTCTTCTCTAATTGCCTGAAATGTCTCAGTTTGTGAAATCCAGAGGCAAGTGACTTAGGGTGAAAAATGTGAGTGCAAGAGGTGGTGGTGGTGGGAACATACAATGTATACAACTAGTTGATGGTGTATTTTCCTTTTGGGGTGAGAGGGTGTTGTTTGGTTTTTCAGCTAATTTTACCCTTTTCTTTAGCAGGCCCCCAGCCTCCCCAACAGACCTAAAAAAAAGAAAGTAATGTCAGTTTGAAACAAGGGCTTGTTGTTCCATTGTCTTTGATTTAAATAATCCGGGTTGCTGGAAGGTTGCAGGTATGGAAGGAAAGATGCTGTGTATTTTCTAAGACTTTAATGTGTTAATGACAAGAGTTCAAAGTCTTTTCTCCAGATGCAGCTGCTTTTCCTTTTTAACAATTATTGTTATTTGACTGTTTTTTTCCTCCCAATGACTGAACAGTTCTTAACCTAAATTGACCAAGATGTGTGGGGGCATTCAGACAGGTACAAATCTTTTCTCACCACCACTTTTGATGTAATATTCGTAGTTTTTTCCTCATAACATACTGGTACTTGACACTAAACCAAAAAAAAATGAGATCAGTGGTGTAGAAAAAAAGGAAGTCCCTTTAGATGTGGCTATTCAAAATGACTAATTTTGCATTCTGGTCTTTGCTTTTGTAAATGAAGTCTTTTTTTTCCCCCCCTTTTAATGCATAGACACTGCAGTTTCCTTTAGTCAAATACAAGTTATTGTGTGTGTGTGTGTGCATGTGCTTGCACAGGTTCCCTTTGAAAGGATGGCTTGCTGATCTGTGAAAAAGATGGTTTTCTGAAATTCTTGTGTTTGAAATCCTTGGCTAAAGCTGGTGGTGCTATTGCTAAAGTTAAGTGATTATGGTGCCCACTTGTAATGTACTTGGAAAGATAAAACAGCTTAACTTTTTTCCCCCCTCTTTGCTGCTCCAGAATTGATTATCTTAAACTCAGCAGCAAATAGCCACCACATAACTAGTTTGCATTTTTTTAACCTCTCAGCAGCATTCCTGCCTGGAGTATTCAGCTCCTCCAGGCTGTTACAAGTCAAATAATTGTTCTCTTGAATGCAGCCCTCCTCCATGATCAATACACCTTTGAATGTTTTCATGGCTGCAGAAATCCTTCACGTGGGTTTGCTGGGCTGTGTTATGCATAATTGTTTCTTTCACGACCTTACCTTTTGGTTGGATCACAGATTAATGTTTTCTCCATCACTCAAAATATGGGATCGGTTTCAAGAAGTTTAGGATTTCACATACTTCAGGCTACAGAAGGAAACAGAATTCTAGTTGCTGGAAAGATCAAGGTTGCTATTTGTTCTTTTGAAGTTGCCCATCTACCCATCTCTGAATGCCGCATGGGGCTCTTTGTTAAAATTTATTTCCAGTCACTCCAAGCGAGAAACCATCAGCAGTGTCCATTTGGGCAGCCTGTGTATGTTGCAGGCAGAGTGTGTTTCTGAGTTGACAATATTTGCCTCTTAAGTTGGAGTAAAAAGCATTAGTGCTAAAATCACCTTCCACAAATCACCTTTGTATTATTGCATGTTAGCGACGTGTTTAAGTTGAAGAGGCTGCTTTTATCTGATGACAACCATTTGTGACAACATGTCAGTTGTTTCTTTGCTGGTTTGTGTCACAGGCTTTCTCTCCAGATGCAGTGTAAATGAAATTGTTAATGGGGTTCAGTATCAGAGAGCTAAATGTGTTAATATTCTGATTTGAAACTTGACTGCCTTTCTTTCTTCTTTCTGCGGGCACTAGTTAAATTTGAGGATTCCAAGTTCTCCTAATTTAATTCTGAGCTGTCATCTCTTCCTGTCTATCTAATTCCCGTCCTGAATCCTCTTCCCCCAATAGTCAGGGAATACATCTCCAACTGACCCTCAGGTTCCAGGCCCGTTTGGACTCATCTTTTGTCTTGTCACTGTCCCAGACCATGGAACACAGAAGGGACATTCTAATCCTTTCTCTCTTGCCCAGCCTCCCTCCCGTCCTGGCCTTGAGTCTTCCAAATGGAAAATTCCAGCAGTATCAGTTGGTGATGCACCCATTTCTTGTTGAACCATAGTCTGATGGAATTGCATCTAAAGTAAATGGTCCGATTCTTATCTCTTCATTGTCAGCCCAAATTCTTGGGAAGTTCCAATACCTCATAGAGTTCGCACCTATAAAAAGCAGGACTTGACTGGCTTGGCTTGGGAGGGTTGTGTGTGGGGAAGATAGGCAATGGCCTGCACCGCATTCATCGAGAGTTCCAGCAGAGAGAGGGAGAGAAGATTCTGGCGGACCTGCCCAGCAAAGGGGCCCGCTTTCCCCGCTTCTCTCCCCAACCCCCAGCTCTCAGCCTGTCTTTTAAATAATCCTTCCTCATTCCACTTTTGTGCTGGGGGATAATTAGTCACAGCTCAAAAGAGGGCTCAATGCTTTCTCTAAGCCATGCCTGCTATAGAGAGGAAACCTCCAGGGGTGGGGAGCGTGGAGACCCCCATCCTAATTCCTCGGATAAATGCTGGCGGTTTGAATGTTTGAGACCAGGCCTTTTGCTTCTAGCCTGGGTGTATTTTTCAACTTTGTAATGTAACCTGTATATTTTTTCATGTTCCTCTCTCATCGGGAAATTGTAAGATTTAGGGGAGGGGTCTGGGAAGTGCTGTGCCTTGCAGAATTCAGAGATCAGAGCTCTGGGTACCCTGCGGGCCACCTCCAACCTGACCCTGTGTTAATAATAAGAAACTTGTTTACTTGAAGCCTGGGCTCTGGTGGGCCCACGGGTGTAGATTGTAATTGTGTGTCTAAAAAAATGCTTTTTTGTATCCCCCAGTAGCATGACAACTAGAATAGTAATTTGACTTAAAAAAAAGAACAACCTAGTGTTTTCAAAAACTCCTTTAGGCGTGGTAACACTTTGAAATCAGGTGTGGGGTTCTTTCCCCCCACCCCTGCGTAAGGATGAGGGATTGTCGTAAAGGTGGGTGTGTTGTTAGCACTTCTAAGCTGCTGCCCCCATGGGGCAAGTTCTCAGTCTACCTAAACGTGAACGTAATTTGCTCTGTTTCAGCTTGGCTGAAGAGGAAATAAAAACAGAACAGGAGGTGGTAGAGGGCATGGATATCTCTACTCGTTCCAAAGGTGAGTCAAAATCTTGTATTATCTATTCGAGAGCAGAGGAGGAAATTGGAATTTCTTTTTCTTGTTGTTGTGGTGCAGTGGAGTGTGGCTGTGTGAGCCAAGGTTGTGACACTCCTCCGATTTGGAGGTGTGGAACCTTTGATGGATAAACCTAATTTATGGAGAAATCGCCTCCCTTCAATTTTCCTTCCCTTGCGTGTCTGTGTAGGTGTACCGACCTGTCGGGGATTGTCCCGACAGTAAATTTTCCGCATGTATCGTGACTGAGAGCAGCTGGCTACCTCCCTGCGGGGTAACTTTGAGGAATCAGAATTTAAATAAAGCATGTTCTAGAAGCAACCAGAGGCTCTAGCTGCCGCTTGTTTTCTGATTTTAATAACAGGTCTCTTTGGAATCTCCGGACTGGAATGAAGTTGGCCCACTTCATTGGAAAACGGTGGTCTTGGTTAGAGAAAAAAAAGGAAATGTAGAACTTTCTGGAATGCTGGTGCCAGCGTTTGCATTTAGGACAAAATTTAGCAAATCAGAGCAAACACGGTCTATGTTTTTATTTAGAATCCTGTGTCAGACTTCCTCACAATGTTCTAATTGCGAGATTGGTACTTTTTGTTGGGTCTGCGTGAGCTTTTACGAGGCTTCCCAAAAGGAGGCACTTGCTCCCTTCTGCCTTCAGGGTGCCTTTAGAAAGGAGCTGCTGGAGCGGTTTTTGTATCTTTGGTTGATGGAAATGCTCATCTCCAAACTTAATGGTTGTACCAAGAGGTTGTTATTCCTTCTGCAATCACTGAGTGCCTGGGCTGAGCACACGGCCAGCCTGTGGGTCAGGCCTGTGGGTCACGGGGAAGGGCTGGAGAGGGGGTTGTTACAGACTGCCAGAAAGATGCCTATCTCGCCAGAGGGTGTGTCACAGAAAGTGGCTCCCTAAAGGCATCTGAGGCCACGAAGCCTTCTGAGGATTTTTACAAGACTGCTGTCATTTTGGGTAAATGTAGGGATCCGATAGTGAAGACTGGGAGCTGGCTGGTGAGGGCCTGGCATGGCGCAGAGAGGAGGGGGAGGCCCCTCAGGTGAAGGCCAGCCTGCCTGGCTTGGGGGTCCATGGAGGGAGCCGCAGGGAGAGTAGCGGGGCTGAGTCATTGGCCTCTGCCCCCCTTCATCCCAGCCCCCACCCAGCCCATGTGGGGCTATCACCCCTGTAAGTAATGGTGAGGAGAGCCACGGGGAGTTTTGAGCAAGGAAAGAACCTTCTGGAAAGGGTGTTTTGAGACGTTGCTGATGAGGGAGTGGGTCCCAGCCCCATGGTTGTGGTGAGAGTCGGATGTGGACAGAGAGGCCAGGGCCCCCGGGAGCTGCGACGGGCTTCCTTCTCACTCCACCGCTCGCTCTCCCCCGGGCCTGGGGCACCTTCTGTCTCTGTCCTTCCCTTTTCTTATGTGTAAAATGAGGTGTTGAGTTAGAGTCCAGGATCCCTTCCCCCTTGGGCCTTGCTTGCATAGACAGTACTGCCTGACAGTCTCTGTGAAGGCAGTGCTTGTACCTGCAGCTTTTCCTTACTGGCTTCCATCGATCCCCTTGTGAGGTGGGTGGTGGTTCCTGCTGTGCAGACAAGGAAACAGGCTCTGAATGGTGGTCTCACAGCTAGTACGTGCGGAATGGGCCTGAACGAGCCTCTGTCCCCAGGAGGTGCTTCCTTCGTGGGCGCTGGAGCCCTGTGGCCATTGTGGGGAGTCTCCAAAGTGATCGTCCCCTGGGGCGGGAGCCTGCTCTACTCAGACCCCGGTGTGTGGAGACCCCCTCCCCTTCCCCTTGGTGTGGGGACCTCTCTTCTCGTTGTCTTTCAGACCCCCTGGATGCTCCTAACCCTTCACCAGGTGGCATTTCCCTCTGTGCCGCCCGAAGCGTGACGCTGCTGGGGTCGTCCTTGTCCCTCTTTCTCGTCTGCCCCACTCCAGTCCTCTCCCTCCAGCAGCCAGGGCCATCTTGAAAAACAGATCGGAGCCGGCCCTTCTTGCTCACTCCTTCCGCTGCCCTTCCAGTGCCCTTGGGCTCCAGCCTGACATCGCTCTGGCCTACCCACCTGGGCCTGCCTGCCTGGTCGCCAAGACCTGCCACCCGCTCGGCTTCCTTCCCCTTCGTTGCCCTCGTGACCTTCTGTTCACCTTGGATCATTTCCCCCCCTGACTCCCCTCGAGCCTCCCGGCCTCCTTCCCCTCCTTCCCTCCTGGGGCCTGTGTGTCCTGTGCCCTTTGCGGGGAACATGCTGCCCTGGGCCCTGCTGCCTCTTTGTCATCCCTCACAGTCATCTCAGACGTCATCTCCTCCGAGAGGCCTTCGGCAGCCACCCAGTCCAAAGGAGCCGTTGCGTCATATTCTGTTATATTTTTAAAAATGAACTTCTAATTTTAGAGCAGTTTTAGATTTCCGGATAAGTTGTGAAGATAGTACAGTGTTCCCGTGTCACCTCCCTGACCCCACACAGGCGTGCGCGCGCACACGTACACAGACGCGCGCTCACACACTGTGGTACATTTGCCACAATTAATGAGTTGATAGTGGAATGTTATTACCAACTGAAGTCCACGCTTTGTTCCGATTTCCTTAGTTTTCCCACCAAAGTCCCTTTTCTGTCCCCATCCAGGACACCGCATTCCATTTAGTTCTCATGTCTCCTTAGACGCCTCTCGGCTGTGACCGTTTGTCAGACTTTCCTTGGTTTTGAGGACCTTGATCGTTTTGAGCAGTGCCGGTCAGGTGTTTTGTGGGATGCCCCTTGCTTAGGAGTTTTTTGGTGTCTTTCTCATGATTGGGTGGGGGTGGACTGCGACTGTGGGTTTGTGGGAGGAAGGCCACGGAGTGAAGCGCTGTTTTCATCGCATCATGTCGAGGATGCATATCATCATCGTGATTTGTCGCTGGTGATGTTGACCTCGGTCACCTGACAGGTGGTGTCTGTCAGGTCTCTTCCCTTCCGTACTGTGCTCTTTGGGAGAAAGTCACAGCGCCCAGCCCACGCGTACCGAGTGGGGGGTTATGCTCCCCCTCCTTGAGGCCAGAGTGTCTACAGAAATTATTGGAATGTATGAGAGATTTGTCTCTTCTCTCCTACTTGTTTATTCAAGCATTTATTGGTATCAGCATGGACTCAATTACTTTAAACTTGAGGTAATAGTCCAGTGCTGCTTATTTTATTGCTCAAGTTGTCCTAGCTTTGGCCATTGGGAGCACTTTCAGTTGGCTCCTGTGTCCCTCTGACATTATTGTGGGGTTCGTTGATTGAACACTTTCTTTTCTTTTTTTTTTGAGGAAGATTAGCCCTGAGCTAACATCTGTTGCCAATCCTCCTCTTTTTGCTGAGGAAGACTGGCCCTGAGCTAACATCCGTGCCCATCTTCCTCTACTTTATATGTGGGATTCCTGCCACAGCATGGCTTGCCAACTGGTGCCATGTCCATACCTGGGATCCAAACTGGTGAACCCTGGGCCTCTGAAGCGGAACGTTGGCACTTAACTGCTGTGCCCCCGGGCCAGCCCCATCTAGTACATTTTTTTTTTTTTAAAGATTTTATTTTTTCCTTTTTCTCCCCAAAGCCCCCCGGTACATAGTTGTATATTCTTCGTTGTGGGTTCTTCTAGCTGCGGCATGTGGGACGCTGCCTCAGCGTGGTCTGATGAGCAGTGCCATGTCGGCGCCCAGGATTCGAACTAACGAAACACTGGGCCGCCTGCAGCGGAGCGTGCGAACTTAACCACTCGGCCATGGGGCCAGCCCCCCATCTAGTACATTTTTAATCTTATCTTCACTGTGCAGCTTGATGAACTTTAACACGTGTATACACTTGTGGGACCACAACCCACATCAAGATAATAGAACATTTGCAGCTTTCCAGAAGCTTCCTCAAGATCACTCCAGATTTTCTCCAGCCCTTGTCTGTGACCTTGTACTTCTTATTTGTTGGTTTGTTGATGGTGTCCCCTGCTAGAATTTGGGCTCCCTCTCTCCCCAGGCCCTAGACCAGCATGCTCAGCCCCACTTCCATTCGAGAGGCAGGGTGGCATGGAGGTCTAAAAAAACCTGGCTTCTAGAACTAGGCTCCCTGGGTTCACATTCTGGCTTGCCCCCGCCTAGCTGGGTTATTCTTTGTGACTCGGTTTCCACTTATATGTGGGGCTGATAAAGATAGAGGGTTATGATGAAGACACAATTTGTTCACACGTGCGCGGTGCTCAGAATTGGGACGTGGTGAGTGCTCGAAAATGTCGGCCGTGGTTAGAGTTGGCGTGAAGCCGGTGAGCGTGTATGGAGAAGGCTTTCACCCCGTTCTCCTTCCCTGACTTACAGCCTCTAGGAAGACGGCACGCAGGCAGACAGGGAAGCCAAGCCCAGAGAGTCCAGAGTTGTGGAGGGTTACCCAGCAGGCGGGCTCTGGACGGGCTTCCTGTCCTGTTGGCCTCTGTGACGTCTCAGGAAAGCCGCTCTGCAGCTGTTTGGACCAGTTTCCCCGGGGCCTTTGGAGCCCCTGTTCTGGTGGGGAATCTGTGAGGGGAGAGGGTCATCTGGTTCTGAGGGAGACCTTTGTCTCTCCCCAGGGACTGCCTTGGATGGCTTTCTTTGTGTGGAACTCAGCTCCCCTCTTCCAGGTGGCTCAGGTGGCAGGTGACTGACCGCTTCTGTGTCTGGGGAACCCTTCTGACAGAGCATCTTGGGTCAGGTGAGGAAGTTGGATACACAGAGGCCTGGAGTTGAGAGTGGGTTTCTGAGGGCGGAAGTCAGCAAGGTCAAAATGTGCCGCCTGCAAAGGCTCACTGTGAGGCAGGAAGGCTGACCCCTCCTTCAGTGCCGATCGTCTCAGGATCCACAGTGTGATGTTGTGGGCTCACTGAACACACTTACTCCTCTAGCCTGCTTTTCTTGTGGTTTGGGAAATTCATGGCTTTGCTCCCCACGCGCCACCATCCCTGTCAGGGATCTTTGGTTGTGAGCAAGGGCAGCCAGCTCTGGT